CAGTTTTGGACTTCATAATAGCGTAAATGCAGGCACAAATCGCTGATACAGCATGCTCGGCTGACGACAATGCTGCTGTTAAATCAACAGAAAAGATACTGAAATGTCAAGCGTTGAGAATGGAAATATAAAATCTCGAGTGTGAAAGTGAAACTCATTCCTGTGGTGTTCTGTGCCATCGGAGTAGTGAAAAACAACGATCAACGCATACTAAACTCAATTCATGGATCGATTAAGTGGATGAACTGAGAAAGATACTCCTGTGAAGAACAGACAGAATTTTAATTAGAACTCCCTAACAATTGTAAAAGGATCGATGGAGTATGTTGAAATGAGTTATATTATTAATTGTATCAATACTTATGGAATATGATTAATTTAAGCTGTATTAAGTATGTTATATCCTGGAGCACGCTAATAAATGCTTAATCGTTTATTAATGATTAATTTATTAACAGATGTCTCTTTTTGTAAATCTGTTGAATATATGCTCCATCTGTGTTGTCCTTGACTACTACTGTATTGTGATTTTACTAATATACTGCAACCATATTCACTGTATTATTACTATTCCTGAATTATTGTTATTAATTATTTTAACTTGAGCTGTATTGTATATGTGTCACGCAACGTTAATATCTTCGGAACGTCACTTTCACTACACGCCAATGTTATTCAAATTTTCCAGCTTGTTATGACAAAAAGCTTTGTTTGGACTTGACACATGATTCTCTTTCCTCCTTTAAATTCGGTTTTAATTCGACATTTCGGTTCTTCCGGCGCAGAAAACATTTTCAGTGTTTTTCTATAAATAAAAAAATTTGTGCAGTGCATGATTTCCGTGTCAAACAGATTTTATGGTGTATTATGTGTATACATATATATTTGTTTATGGCATTACTTGAATATCATCATCGGCAGCAGCAGCCTTTTCCGAACCATTGCTAGAAGAAGGCCTCGGAGATTTTCTTATAAAGTTGTAATTTCTGAATCTTTTCAGTCTTGATGTTATGAACTTCTCCAGTTCTTCCTGCCATCGTTCCCGAGGTTTTTCTACCGGTCGTCTACTCTGTCTTGCCACCCACTTTAGTTTCTATTTAGTCCTCTAGTGATCGGTTCTTTTTGTAACGTCTTCTGACCATTGCCACCGCAACTTCTTCACTTGTGCAATTACATTTCAGACTCTTCCCTGTGCTCTTACCCATTCGTTCGCCTTGCAGAGTGCTGTTATTCCAAACATTCATCATTCAGTGTTGCGGCACGTAGTTTTGCAGTTTATGTATATCTTTCAGGCCGGGAATACATTTTCCGTATTCGTACATTTCTGAAGGAAGCACACACTATTGAGTACTTTTCGTTTCAAGCACAAAGGTAATTTTCCGGACGGGTACATTTTCAGCCTTCCGGAAGTGCTCCATGCCATTTTTATTCTTCTGATGATTTAGCACAGTCAGTTTTTCGTTGTAGAGATGAGCTCTCCAAGATTAACGTATTTTTGCATTTCTTCAAACCTAATTCACTGACTGCAGCAGGTCACGCAGTCAAGTATTTGTTAAATATGAAATGAGTCTTTTTCAGGTCCTTTTTCAGCTCTGCTTTTATGCTGGCACCATTCTACTGTTGAATTCCTTTCTGGTGATCGTGTGAAGATCAGAGTTTTATCCACATATCGCAGCTGTCTTATGATGTGCGCATTTATGTTCAGCGCCTAATTTTCCTATACAGGTGTTTT